TTTTCCCCAGTACAGGGCATGTCTCTTCATCAGGTCATACAAGCAGCATACTTAATGAAAACCCTGATATTGCAGAGACCCCACATTTCCTGCTGGCTTCTTCAAAAATTACATACTGCTTGCCCTTCTAGTGTTTTAAAAACATAAAGATCATTTACTAAGCTTTTGGTTATTATAGTAAGAGACAGCAATTTTTGAACTAAAACACAAATGCAGTCTACCCAGCACGCAGGATACAGCAGGTCATTTAGCAAACTGTCGTATTTCAGACATGCTTTGAGTCAGGTTGAAAAGATTACATGAGGGTGCTGAAACAATTTATTTTTCCTGTAGTCAATAACACTGTTTTTCAAGTTAATGCTGTGCCCAGCAAAGGAATTTCCTAATAGACATAAAATATTAGTTTAACAAGAGAAATTGGTAACAAAGGAATAAAGTTATCTTTCAGTGTCAGTTTAATTGTGTAGGTCAGCAAAGATAACATGGTAAGATGATACAGCTCTGTGGTAAGAACCAAACAATAACCTGACATTGTTACTTTCCAGGTTTCTATCTTAGACCTAGACAGACTCCCTGCCTGAATACTATGTGGCTGTGCTCCTGTTTGCTAACACACGGAAGCATATATTTATTATTTTTGGAGACTTGACACAGGTTCTACTACTTAATATTTGGCAGTTTACCCAGTTGTTAACTCTATGCTTAATTATTAATGTTTTGACCCACAGCATTATGAAAAAACTGAAAAGCAGACTTCAAAAATTCTATTTGTGTTCTAAAAAGGAAAATTAAATGCACAGTCCAATGAGGAAATTTTCAGATGCTTGGAAAAGGATGGTACCCTAATCAAAGAAACTGTCAAGTTAATTTGTGCTATCCCAGTATTCTGTATTGCCACAGGCTGATTTTTACCACTTACTTTGTGATAAACATATTTTTACACTTGCCTGCCAGCACAACATAAGGGTGATACAAGGGTCACATTCTGGACAGCTAAGACTTCCAAATATATGTGTAACTGGCATGAATATTGAAGGTAATCTCTTGGGCAGTAGCTTACATTTTTCCAAAGGGCTATACACTGTACACTGTCCAAATATTGTCCCTATAAAAATCTTCTCATGCCAAGAACATTTCTCTATTACTACATCACTCAGTGTCTTGATACAACAAGTGTTCCAAGAACATTTCCTCCTAGTTGCTCTCTCTAACAGGACACTAACTTTCAATTTCTACACATTGTTAACTACTTTCACTAAAGTTTATATTTTGGGTGAAAAGGGGATATATAAGAACATTTCCAAACAGCATAAACAGCCCAAATGCACATCATGATAGAAACTTCCAGAAATACTTGAAAACACCACTTAAGAGTTTCAGGAACTCAAAGCAACTTGAATATGTACAGGCTCTCCACTAATAGCTAAAACTG